TTATGGGTAGTCATGCTCTATTAAGTCTCTTCGTTGGTGTCGTGTGAGGCGGGTCGTTACGTTCCCTAAAATATGGTTAAGCGAAGCGATGGCTAGTTCAAGCGTCATGCTCGTGAACGGGTGCTGCTCAGCTGAGATGAGTCTGCCCTAACTGCCTTGATCTTGAAGATGTTAATGTTTAGTACACTTAATTTAAATAACACTATTTGTTATTATACTGTACTGACAGAGCAATCAAAATGCAGGTGAACAATTAATGTATATTGTAATCATGTAATGAAAGCTGACTTCATGAATCATCTCTGAAGTCATTTTTCAACTTGACGACTCTGCAAATAATAAAAAATGGAGATAAAAACCGCCCTTGCCGAGTTCTTCGCGGAGTACGGAGAAGAACCGGTTCTTCTCAGTACAAAGTCTCTCGCCGTAGGTTTGCGATCCTTCCGATTACGTAGCTTCTAGACATTCATGAGTGCTTGTAACAGCCTAAACTGAATAAATGATTATAACTGATTATGATTATATGTTTGAAGCATTTCATAAGCTTCGTCAAGTCTTCTCGTCACCCATCCCTCAATGTCTTAAGTCGAAAGCCTTGACCAGTGCGTCCTCCCAGTTATGACATACGGCGCCGAGACGTGGACACTCACGGCTGGACTGGTCCACCAGTTTAAAGTCGCTCAGAGAGCTATGGAAAGGGCTATGCTCGGAGTATCCCTGAAGGACCGCATCAGAAATGATGTAATCCGACAGAGAACCAGAGTCACCGACATAGCCCACTGAATTAGCAAACTGAAGTGGCAGTGGGCTGGTCACATTAGCCGCAGAACTGACGGCCGATGGAGCCGTAAAGTTCTTGAGTGGAGACCGCGACTCGGTAAACGTAGTGTGGGACGCCCTGAGACAAGATGGGATGATGACATTCGTAGGCTGGCTGGAGTGGGCTGGATGAGAGTCGCAGAAAATCGGGAGCAGTGGCGTGCATTAGGAGAGACCTATGTCCAGCAGTGGACGAGCATGGGTCGATGATGATGATGATATGTTTGAAACGTAAAATGAGAGGGACATGAAGAATCTTTTTAAAATGTTTCAAGTCATATACAAAATGGTATAGTCATATGCAAGTCCGCCTTGCAATTAGCTCTTTTTTTCTTGCCCTGGCTGTCTGTTAAGTTCACAAAGTTGTTTATTCTAATACCATTCCTTTACCATCACTTAAGACCACAATTTTTGTACATACATAAGTACATATATAAGTAAAACTTGCCAGTTATGAATTTTATTCATAAATTATAAAGCTCGGTCCGTGCCGAAGTTCGCACATAGCATTAAAGCTATGCAGCCATTCCTAACTTCAGGTGACGATGTTCCCACACTGCACTCGAACAACGGCGATGTGGAGCTAAGAACATACCTCGATGGACGCGCTAGGTCTATTTTGCCTTTTTTTATAGATAGGTTCGACAAATGACTCCACCCCACCTTGATGTTAAGTGACGGTGAAGTCCAGACGCGAAGATAGCTGGTAGCAGCAGTTCTACCTGCCACACCAGCTATTCTCACCTTACCGGCCTGCATATTGCTTTTTTTTATAGATAGGTCTGACAAATGACTCCACCCCACCTGATGTTAAGTGATGGTGAAGTCCAGATGTGAAGATTGCTGGTAAAGCAGTTCTACCTGCCACAACAGCCATCCTCACCTTGCCGGACAGCGCCTTTAAGAGCGCCAAACCTTACAAGCCCCCACAGTGGCTGCCCACTGAGGACCCTGTAACTTTACGGCATAATATCCGCTAAAAAACCCTGCGAATACCCTCTAAGCTGCTTAGTGCGAAACCGCGGGATCCCCGTTCAAGGATTCTTACCGCCCCCCGTCCGCTGCGGAGGACTACTTGGGCATGCCCGTGTAGCTCCCTCCGCCGCCCCCCTCTTTGCAGGACAGAACTACAAGATGGGGGCTGCCGAGCATGGCCTGTACCATGCTCTGCAGCGAGAGGGTTCCGCCTCCCAGCGCCGCAATCAGGTCGCGGCGCTGCTGCCGCCAGGCCGAGCACTCCTGCAATATATATATATACATAAAACTCAAAGGTGACTGACTGACTGACATAGTGATCTATCAACGCACAGCCCAAACCACTGGACGGATCGGGCTGAAATTTGGGTTGCAGGTAGATGTTATGACGTAGGCATCCGCTAAGAAAGGATTTTGATCAATTCTACCCCCAAGGGGATAAAATACCGAAGCGAGGAGAGGGCGGGCCATGAGTCATAAATATAAGGGGTCCTGCACTTTCAAGCTCCTTTTTGACTAAAACAACTGAAAATGATTACCAGATCCATTCAACGTCGACATTCAGCGCGTACTGAATGGACAACTTTGCGAAGCGTTATTTAATTAAGTTAGGTAGTTTATTAGTTGTCCCTCGCTAGACTCGTTTTAACGTGTTTTCCTCGTATATTCCATTTTGACGCATGTTCTAATAGACAAATTTGCTTCTACCATCTCATTGAGGAGAAGGAAGTCTTGGATGAACGAATTCCTATGTATACGACCTTTCAGAGAAATGCAGGACGTGTTGGTCATCAGCATCAGCGTATTAATGTCTCCACTGCAGGGGCACAGGCCATCCCAAGGAGTAGGGAGATTGGGCCATGACCCAGAACACGGGCGCAGGGCGGATTGTTTGGTGCTAACGATTGCAGATGCAGCCGGGACCAACGGCTTCACGTGCCGTACAGAACACGGAGTAGGTCACCCATCCAATAGCTCACCACCGGAAAAGTTGCCACCGTAACTGCGCCATTGAGATCCTGTTTCAAAATTACTGAACATGTTGATCAATGACTGGTGTTTAGGCTTTGTGAAATAGGCGATGAGATAATAATACCCGGCTTAGATTCCCTTTGTGTATCATAAGTCTATTAATGTCCCCGTTACTGGGGCACAGGCCTTCCCTATGGATGGAATAGGGGTTGGGTCATGACCCAGCACGCGGGCCCACTGCGGATTGGCGGGTGCTAACGACTGCAGATGCAGCTGGCACCAACGGCAGTGCAACGTGCCTTCCGAAGCACGAAGGAGCTCGAGATAGTAAACTTTTGGTCACCCATCCAATGGCGATCCGATGGCGCAAGTGGTTAGCGCGTTCGGCTGCAGTCGTTGAAGTTAAGCAAACTTTCGCAGTGGTCGGTCATTGGATGGGTGACCAAAATTTACTATCTCGAGCTCCTCCGTGCTTCGGAAGGCACGTTAATAGGCTGATGATGATGATACTTTTTAACTCGGAAATATATCCTGCCAGATTATCAAAAAACCAAAAGCGCGGACGGATAGCGGGCGGCCACTAGTATCAAATATTTAAGATATCACCGAAGAAGAATGAAATTATCACGATCCCTGAAACTGAGCAATTTTCCCAGATGATATTTTTTGTACGAAACTGAATGAAATCCCTTGACTTTCCTACACATGCTTCCGTCCTGCAAAAAAAAGGGTTCAATATGTTTCTATCAGTCAGTTCTATCATTATACCAAAGAAATCAGAAATCCGAAATCAATATATCTTTATTCGAATTGGATGTATAGTACAACACTTTTGAATCGTCCAAACATTTTTTTCCCTACCACTCGTTATAACCAAAGGTACTGTAACGTCTGCGGCGTTACAGCCTCTTTGCTTGTCCAGTGTCTACGGCTGTTAACTTTAAAACTATAAGTTATATTTAAAACATAGAATTTGGTTGCGCTTTGTCTCGAGTCGATGGATGGCAGTATGAAACCCGGCGTAGACGTAAAAACAGCGAAAATCTATATATATAAAACTCAAAGGCGACTGAATGACTGACATAGTGATCTATCAACTCACAGCCCAAACCACTGGACGGATCGGGCTGAAATTTGGCATGCAGGTAGATGTTATGACGTAGGCATCCGCTAAGAAAGGATTTTGATCAATTCCACCTACAAGAGGATAAATTGGGAAATGAAAGTTTGTATGAAACTTTGTCAATATTAAACCGATCGGGCTGAGACTTTGCATGCTTTGCATGACGACTTAGAAGAATCATAGATGAATGTCATTGTATATAATACAAGCCTGAGAACAGAAACTGTAGTCTACATTCAGCTCTACATCGAAGTGAAGCGAGGGCGGGCCACTAGTAATGTTATAATTCTCTAAAATACAATTGTTTTCGATAAGTACTAGAGCTGCGTTACCTTAGACTGTCTTCCGGAGCCTTAGAGTACCTATCCTATTAATTTGATCTCTTAACCTATATCTTAACATGATAATGATATTATCAAAGAAAAGACAAAAACAGTTAACCGACTAACCCTTGCATTGTTTAACTAAAGTCACACAACAACAAAAAACGGTGCCGTGCGACCGACACGTGACTCCTACCAAGATATATGACGACCATCACGTAACAAAAACTTCCTCCACACCCCGAACCCTGTCGACAGCGAAAAATCCCATCTACAACAAAAACGTAACACGTCGAGGCCCGGCCAAGTTTCATCTTCATATTTTTCCGGCAGATCTCTGCGGATGATCGCCGCCCAGTGTAGTAAGACCCACGTATGCCCAACAGGTGAAGGATTATAAACACACTGCGGAGTTCTTGTCGAACTGGACACGTTGTGTGTGTATGTAATATTGAAACTATTTCTCTACGAAAGACAATACATGTACAATATTGCCGCCGCCTTGATGGATAATGATTTTATCTACATGGTATGTTACTTAATGGAAACCTACATTAAGGGACTTTGAATATGACGATTTAACTATTTTTGAAACGCGGTAGTTGTTACTGCTTTCGATAAGCATGTGCATTAATGTTTTCTGGGCATTTAAAAACCGATTGTAGGATCTGACTGATTTAATGTTTCCTTTGAGAGACATTTAGGAACAGGGGAAAATTACGCCTTATTTGTGAAAAAAATCTTTTCCAGGCATAATTATGGAAGTTAGAATATAATATTTAATAACGATGCCCGATGTTTGCCTAATAATGATGCCCGATGTTTGCCTAATAATGATGCCCGATGGTTGCCTAATAATGATGCCCGATGGTTGCCTAATAATGATTCCCGATGGTTGCCTAATAATGATGCCCGATGGTTTCCTAATCATGATGCCCGATGGTTTCCTAATCATGATGCCCGATGGTTGCCTAATAATGATGCCCGATGGTTGCCTAATAATGATTCCCGATGGTTGCCTAATAATGATGCCCGATGGTTTCCTAATCATGATGCCCGATGGTTGCCTAATAATGATGCCCGATGGTTGCCTAATAATGATTCCCGATGGTTGCCTAATAATGATGCCCGATGATTGCCTAATCATGATGCCCGATGGTTGCCTAATCATGATGCCCGATGGTTGCCTAATAATGATGCCCGATGGTTGCCTAATCATGATGCCCGATGGTTGCCTAATCATGATGCCCGATGGTTGCCTAATCATGATGCCCGATGATTGCCTAATCATGATGCCCGATGATTGCCTAATCATGATGCCCGATGGTTGCCTAATCATGATGCCCGATGGTTGCCTAATCATGATGCCCGATGATTGCCTAATCATGATGCCCGATGGTTGCCTAATCATGATGCCCGATGGTTGCCTAATCATGATGCCCGATGGTTGCCTAATCATGATGCCCGATGGTTGCCTAATCATGATGCCCGATGGTTGCCTAATAATGATGCCCGATGGTTGCCTAATCATGATGCCCGATGGTTGCCTAATCATGATGCCCGATGGTTGCCTAATCATGATGCCCGATGATTGCCTAATCATGATGCCCGATGATTGCCTAATCATGATGCCCGATGGTTGCCTAATCATGATGCCCGATGGTTGCCTAATCATGATGCCCGATGATTGCCTAATCATGATGCCGGATGGTTGCTATTTTAAAAATAGTCCAAGACAGGAAAATATGCACTTCTTTGGAGGAGGCCTTCACCCGTGGAGGGGTTCTTGCAGATATTTACAATTTTATTAAAAAAAATGTATAGGTTAAGATAATTCATTTTGTTTACTTTCATTTCTCTGCATGAAATAAAAAAAGGCTTTATTATTATTAACGCTGCCCGAGTAACAAACTATAACTTACAAAATATGTATTTCTACAATTAATTATATAAGTATGAGCAACTTATATAATTAATTTAAATAATAAACTGATATCATAGTTCAAAAATATATTGGTAGGTTTGTAGGTACACACTGTCGCATAACATACACCTGTAATGATAATGGTAAATAAAAATCATCAAAATCGGTCCACGCGTTTGGTCTCTAGTGTGCCACAAAGGAACAAACATACATATATAGACTGATAAACACTATACCCTGTCTGCGCATCGCGCTTCGCGCTCTTGCATTGCGCAGTCGGGTAAAAATAGCTCAAATTTTTTTTCAGTGTGAGAATGGATGGCCTCTTTTAAAAAAGATTGTAGATTTTACTTAGAAGAAGTCACGTTTCATAGATAAAAAGAACATTGTTAAAAGATAATAGCCCACAGGCATGATTATAGCTTAGATTAAAACAAAAGGGGTAGATACGGTACGCTCATACTTGCATCAAACAAAAACTGATCCCACGGCAGCGCGAACGGGACGGCGAGATCAGCGTCACTGCATTACCGACCCGAACGAAACAGCACGTTAAGTTTCAACGGCAGCGCGAACGAGACGGTGAGATGTGCGTCACTGCTGCACTACCGACCAATCACGCGACCAGTACTCGACGTCACTAACGAATAATATTCAAAACAAACAGCAATTTTTATGAAAAAATATATTTTATAGTACTTACGAAGGAAAAGTGATGCCGTGGGTTTTATTTTTAGTTCTTGAGCAATTTGAGCACTTTTTAAAAACACGCTTAGGCATTGTTTTATCATATAAACACAAAATATAAGCAATATTTCTTTTTGGCGTTCACATGTACGTCGTTTGCATGTCAAGTTGTGACTAAAGCGATTAGGGTCGTGGACCACAATTCATGCTGATCACTTTTGTGAGGCTAGTGAAGTATCTACCCTTTTTGTTTTAATCTAAGGATTATAGTAATATAAGTTACTAGCGGCCCGCCCTCGCTACGCTTCGGTGTAGAGCTGAAGTGTAGACTACAGTTTTTGTTCTCAGGCTTGTACTATACACAATGACATTCATCTATGATTCTTCTCATACCTGCATGCAAAGTCTCAGCCCGATCGGTTTAAAATTGACAAAGTTTCATACAAACTTTCATTTCCTATTTTATCCCTTTGGGGGTAGAATTGATCAAAATCCTTTTCTAGCGGATGCCTACGTTATAACATCTACTTGCATGCAACAAATTTCAGCCCGATCCGTCCAGTGGTTTGGGCTGTGCGTTGATAGATCGCTATGTCAGTCAGTCACCTTTGAGTTTTATGGGATTGTTACCAAAACAAGGTACATGGTAACTATCATTATATTACTATGTTGTTAGTGACCAAGAAAGTTTAAAACAATATATAGACTTGATTGCCAACCTTTTAACATAGAGAAAACATATTAGGAATCTAGTGCCAAACCTGGAGCTCTCCTCTCTTTCTCCGAAACGAAATTTCGGTAACAAACGAATTTTAAAACGAAATTTCGCCAATAACTCTACTCTATTTCATTTACGAACACTCACTTAAAGTTCGGAATCACAGACAATTTACGTGAACGAATGGAATGAGTCATGTTTGTGAGTTCTTTTATCTCCACTTTTTAGATTACCTGGTTTACTTGGAAACAATATTACTTTACTACAAAATGTTTGATGACATTAAAAGAACCTTCTTTGACAGTGTTAGCCGACTAATTTGTAGAGTTGATGCACTTCATTATATGTCAACCTAAAAGTGTCGTTTAATACTTTGAAGTATTGGAAAAACAATAATTAATTAAAATTTGGTGTATTTGTTAATTTGACATGCTAAAAAATTTTCCTCATGCTAAGCAGCCTTGATTAAAAATACTGTAGCAGTCATTTTAGGCTTAATTTAAACAAAAGTTCCAAAACGAAAATGAAAAGGTAACACTTTTCATTTCCTCAATTTGAGGATAAAATTTCGAACAATTATATGTCAAATTCAACTTTTAGTTTGGAAAAGTTTTGTGAATTAGAGTAGGCTTGGAGAATTTAATTGTCAAACTATTTTCGGACGAACGTATTTTCGAAATAGGAAACAGAGTAAGAAACGTGCGAAATTTCGATCGAAATTTAGTTTTTCGTTGAAATAGAGTAGGCCTGCTGTACTAATTTTTTTATAAAGTAGTCAACCCCGGTGCGCTAATAGGGATGATGACGGGGTACAGTAAACGAAATTCTATTTAGTCCGTCAGTTAGATGATCAAAAAATAATGGACACGTATTTTTTCTTTGGGCAATCAACCAAAAAATGACAAAGTTATAGCGCGTCAAAGTTTGGGAGTAGGGGCTCGTGACGTCACTTTTGAGTGAATTTTCACTTAAAAGTGTACTCAAACGTGACGTCATGCGACTTTTCAAATCAATATATCTCTGCAATGTTTATATTATGTGAAAAAAGAAAAAATACGTGTCCAATACCTTTTGATAATCTACCTGATAAACGAAGAAAAAATAATTAGTCATCATCCCTATTATACACGAAGCGTACTTTTAATAAAACTTTGCAGTTAAAATAACAATGATCACCCTAAAAAATCAGCAGAATGACAATAATAAATATTGACAATACGTGTATTTCTTTCTCGTCCACCGCTGTTTCCGCACCGACGCCTCAGCTGTCACTTGAAAGAACTTGCACCGCCGAAACGGATTCGATTTAATATACAGGATTTATTTACAGTAAAGCCACTCACAGCCCTCAGGAGCGTTGATGGTCTCACACCCTCTAGGATGAACGCTCAAGAGCCCTCGAAGGCGGAACGAACGCCTGTTTTCTGGCGTAAGCCGGTTTTTATATATCGTTTAGATGAAAGATTATTATCTTATCACAGATGAATGCATAATTATCCATGCAAACATATTCTGTAGGTTTATCCTACTAATATGTTAGTCTGTTACTCAATTACGCAAAAACTGCTCAATGGATTAGATTATTTTCATATTTTTTGGGGATTTCTGTGTTGGATTTTGTGCCTTACTTATGCTTCCGTCCGTATAGCCTACCATCTAAAACTGCTTTTTGTTATTTAAGCATGATTAAAGATTATAGTTAAAATACTAGAGAAAAATTTACCATTTTTCAAAATTTTCATAATGTATTTGACGTGACATTAACTAAAGAAAGTAATTATTTATTCACTGAGACAAATGATTGGTCTCTCTTCGGTTGAATGCAGGGGGACAAGTCATTTATCTATGTTTAATAAATTAATATTTCAAACAACTTGAGTAGCACCAAAGTAATCATATTAAAGCTTATGCTATGTGTTACTTATTACCAAAAAAGTTACGTTTCATAAATAAACAGAGCATTGTTTTTATTTTATTTTTAAGCATTTAACTGCTAAATGTTTAAATGTAATGAAAATTTCTAGTAAACTTTTTAAACAGAGCATTGTTAAAAGATAATAGTAAGGCAGGAGCATATACCTATATATATTCAATCATCAATAGTAGATACTTTTTAATATAGTGACTTAAAGGGTGTATTTGTTAAGGTCTAAGTGATTAATCGGGCATTATTCATAATGCCCAATAAGAGAGGGGCAATGTGATTATAACCAATCAATTGGTCACATTGCCCGGCCATTATGAATAATGCCAAGTGCCTGTTAGGCAGACTGATGTAAAGCATGTTTAATACTTTCAAATGAATACTTAGTTAGATAGACCGAGCATTACAAGAAATGAATTGATTTCATTTCTTGTAATGCTCGGGTAGAGTAATAGTAAAAACATGTTTTATAGTTTACTATTTATTTTTAAAATTTAAATGACATTTAGAAACTATAGTCTATAGTAGTTTCAATGTAGTTTGTTTGAAAAAAACATTGGGGCTGCTCTCCCTCCGCGCCTCCGGGCTCTAAAAAACACTCTAAGGGTAGGGCAGACCTAGACCACGGCGTGTCGGGGTTGACCAAGTCGGTTCTGAATTAAAGACTGTTGTAAAGCCACATTAACCTTTTTTTTTAAGTGTTGAGCCCATACTTTTTTTTATTTACCAAGATCTCAAAACAAACACAAAATGAGGAGACATCTGTTATTTTGACAATAGTGGTACTATTGTCAAAATAGAAAGACTTTTTGAATTTATTCATACTGCCCGGTCCAAGTGATAAATTCAAGCTATCTAAAACACTGACTTATTACATGGACGAGGCGTCCGGCATTATTAATAATGACCGGGCAATGTGATAAATAGGTGAGAAACACTTAAACCCGACATTGCTGGGCATTATTCATACTGCCCTGGCATTATGAATACTGCCCGCATTAATCACTTGGCCCATAACATATTCATTGTATTCAGTACCTACACTGCCATAATAAGTTTACTTAAGCGCGCACCTTTGACAGTTCACTAACATCACTAAATGTTTCAAATTAATTCACATTAAACTGTTAAACAAAATTAGCGACTTGCACCGCCTTGTTCATTTATAATTTAAATTTATTAATTCAACAGAATTGCCAAGGGTTATAGCTACACAAATTGTTGCGACCAAAGTTGTTCTCTTTTAAATTAACTTGAGAATTATTACCTTATATAGAATTTTCGTGATATCATTTCACATAGAATTTTCCGCTAGAATTGGAGCGCCCGCCTAACGAGGAGACCAACACCATAAAATTATTGAGGAGCTCGATGGCCTTGCGCCATGGTTAGCGCGTTCGGCTGCCAAAAATTTACTATCTCGAGCTCCTCCGTGTTTCGGAAGGCACGTTAAGCCGTTGGTCCCGGCTGCATCTGCAGTCGTTAGCACCCACCAATCCGCTCTGGGCCTGCGTGGTGGGTCATGGCCCAATCTCCCTATTCCATCCATAGGGAAGGC